GAAAATTCAAGAAGTCCAAACGCCGAAAGCAATCCAACTCTAGCTCCTCTTCCTCATCCGATGATGAAGTAGCCATTTGTCTTATGGCTCAAAGTGAATCCGAAGAGGTAAGTTCTTCTAACGATCCTTTTAGTTTTGAAGAACTACAAGAAGCATTTGGTGATTTATTTAAAGAATTTAAGAAAGTCTCATCTATTGCCAAAGATTTGGAATATAAAATCACCCTTTTGCAAAAGAAAAATAATATTTTGCAAAAAGAAATTGATTCCCTGAAAATTGAAAATAAAACTTTTGAGAAGACTAATTTGAAATTAAATGATTCACCTTGTTCTTCATGTAAGTCTTCTAGTCTTGAGATAGAAGCGCTTAAGAAAGAAGTAGACGATTTGAAATTAGCTATGAAGAAAGTTGAAAATGAATTTAGACTAAAATTTACCTCTATGATTGAATACTATAGATCACCTAGAAATAAACTAAGTCATTCTAGGAATTCTAAGTTTGATAGAAAACCTAGAAAGCACATCACACGTCCTAGAAACATGAACAACCCTAGTGTTAGGTGTCATTATTGTAATAAAGTAGGACACATCACACCAGTTTGTTACACTAAGTATAGGCACTTGCTTCTAAGTCAAGATAATGTGATGCATCATTCATATGATTTTTATTATTGCCATAACACCCCTGGACCCAAAAGGCATTGGGTACCAAGATTTGCTTCGTAGATTCATTAAGGAAGGTGTGCTTGAACACTTCGACTTGAGTTAAAGTAGATATGCCAAGAACATAATTGGGTGAAGAATCAATTAAGGGGGAAGTTGATTCACTTTATTAATTCCAACTAATGTTGGTTTATATTTTAGTTGTACAATGTGATATTATTTGTTTGTTTGATATCTATTTGCATGAGCATATATCTTTTTGCCCATCTCTTTTTTATAATGCCAAAAGGGGGAAGATGGTGTAGATATGCATATATTCAGGGGGAATTGTATTTTTGCATATCTTAATGGGGAAGATAGTATAGATTTGTATGTCTTTGTTTGATTTATGATGCAATACTTGAGGGGGAACTAGCCTTGTATGATGCATATCTCCTAATGGGTTTGTCATTATCAAAAAGGGGGAAATTGTTGGACAATGTGCTATCATGAATATGTATTTTTGCAATGTCCTTTGCCCATTGTCTTTTAGGTTTTGATAATGACAAAAGGGTGACAAACATCATCATCATTTTGTGCATCAAGGCTAAGAATCAAAGCTACAACAAGTTCATATCCGTCCGTGAAGAAGGGACTTGAGCATCGGTGGAAGGAACGAGACCGAAGAGGTTGTTTCCTTAGTTGGGTAGTGTTTTAGGTCTTAGATTATGTGTTAAAGAGTATTGCATCTCTAAGATTCATTCCCTTATCATCATACCTTTAAAACACATTTTATATCAGCTTTTGTGTGGGGAAGTTGTCTTTCTATTCGAATAATCTCTAGTTTATTCGAATAAGTCGTTATCTCTCCTGTGACTGAAATTAACCTGTTTTATTCGAATAAATCACCATTTATTCGAATAAGTCCTGGTTTTTCAACCTGATTTATTCGAATAAATCACCATTTATTCGAATAGGAACTGGTTTTTTCAAGCCACGCGATTGATCCAAACTATTCGAATAGTTCTTGAATTATTCAAATAAGGCGACAGTTTCAACCACCAAACGGCTAGTTTTTTGAATGCTTTTCATCCCTATCCACTCCCTAACTTCTATATACTACCTACTTTCGTGATAATCTTCATAAGAGCACTTAGAACACTTTGAAGAACATATCCTTTGAATATCCAAAGAGATTCTACTCAATCCCCTCCTTATATCCAAGCAAGGCAATTATTTTGATTGCTAAATCATTTCTTGTTTGAGTTTTTCCTCATTGCTTGAGTCTTTGAGAGATATTGCCATATTCTAAAGGACTTCATTGTATTTGCAACAATCTACTCCGTGTTGGGAGAATTACTCGGTTGCGGTTTGTTTTCTTACTTTATTGTAAGAGATTTGTATTCTTGGTGTTGGGATTACACCAAGTGGTAAAAATCCTAACGGTTTGTGAAATCAAACGTTAGGTGGAAGAAATACTGAGTTTTGTGAAATCAAAACTTCGGTGGTAAGATAAGAGGCTTGTGAAATCAAGTTCTCGAGTTGTATTCGGATTGTCAAACTCCGTTAAGTTTGACGGGTTAGTGAAGGCCTGGGCACGATTGCTTCGGGGACTAGATGTAGGCATTTAGGCTGAACCAGTATATATCGTGTGTGCATTGCTCTTATCCTTCACTTTATTTTGTTTGTGGTGCATTGTTTTTGTTGAATATTCGTGAAGAACGTTTCCGCGCAAAAAAACCGGTCTTTTGGGCAACACCTCTATTCACCCCCCCCCCTCTAGAGGTGTGCGAGGCGTCTAACACTGGTGTTGTCCCGAATCATAAAATCCTTGGAAGTGAAAAGTAGAGAACAGTTATTATCTTTGGTAAATTGATGGACGGATAGTAGGTGAGAATTAATATGAGGAGAATGAAGAAGATTGGTTAATGTAAATGTATGGTTTGGAGTGGTTAGAATACCTGAGCCTGTATGGTCAATAGGATAAATATTACCTCTCGCAGTTGTAATAGAGTTGGTGCCATGATAGGGTGAAGAAGTATGTAGCCAAGAAAAATCAGACGTCACATGAGTGTTCGCTCCAGTTTCCAGATGCCAGTTCGGATTGGTTTCAGCAGATTGGTTGGTGTAGTATGCCTGTGGAGGACCGGAATAAGATTCATCGTAGTGGTGCCAACAATTCCAGACCGCATGGCCGGTGTTCCCACACAATTGACACGTGATGCCGGCCCCACGTCCACCACCGCGACCACGCGGATCCTCACGGTAGGAGGACATCCGGCCTCCTCTGCCGTTGTAGCTGCTGTCGTGGGAGGGGCCCACCACAGCCACGATATGGCCCACGACCCCGACCCCGACCCCGACTAGTACCCCGTCCTGAGTTGGTGAATAATGCATGGTGAAGATCTGTTGACGAGGGAGAACAAGAGTCACAAAGGTGTAGTTTCTTCTCAAAGGTGAGATTTAATTCTTCAGAGAGCAACCACGCAGACACTTGATTAAAGGTGATTGTTGCAATATTAGTGCGAATGTTTTGTTTGAGCGAGGCGTAGTCCGCCGGGAGGCCACGAAGCACACACAGGATAATATCTTGTTCAGAGATATCCTCATGAGCCAGTTTCAGAGATGAGACAATAGTGAGAACAGTGTCCAGATATGTTTGCATTGGAACATTAGGAACAACTATATATAACAGATAAACGGTTATTTAAATGGATGCATATTCGGATTGGATTTTAAACGGATCGAATATACAATTACCAAATCCGTATCCATTTGGTAATCGGATACGGATAATATCCGTTTAAATCGGATGCGGATATTTCCTCTTTAAACAAATACGGATGCGGACAATAATTGGATTTTCAGCTATCCGTTGACAGCCCTAGCCATAGTTGTTGGGCTAAATCCCATCAACCCCTATGCATAAGACACATATCCTGTAGAATTAGGCCAAACTCCAAAGGTGTTGTTGATAATTTTTTTGAGGTAGTCACTGTTTGACATTTTAAGCATTTAAATTTATCATTGTCAAAGTTAATATGTACCATTGAATAATAATTGTGAATACTAAGTCACTAGCTAAAGTCAATTGAAAAAGATATTCTTAAAGGAGACATGTTATTCCGAGAAATTTCATTGAGTAATTGTTTGACCTCGCCTAGAAAAATATTCTATTTTTTCATTAATAACCAAATTCTTGTGCTTTTTGTAATCCCAAAGAATGTTGTGAAAAGCTAAGTATATATTTGGTTCGAGAACTCAAATATATGTATTGTAACACGTACAACACTACATTACTATATGTATGACACTTAAACCATGAATTCCCAAAGAATGGAAGCTGAGTATGATGAACTAGCACTCCTAGTGAACATTCGATGCCACAGCTCTAGCCCAAAACTTTATTTGCGCTTTCATGTCTTCGGTTGATATTCTATAAGCCACCCCACTATGCAGTGGAGGGGGGCCAAGCTTTTTTCCACGCTGCCATGCCGCCTTTGATGGATTTTGATAAGCTCTTTTAGTCACCTTTTCTTTATCATGGCAGTTCAAACCCAAATTCTTGAATCCCTGCGAATCATTATCAATATCTTGACCGGAATGACCCTTTCTTGTCTTCAAATTATTTTGGACACAATTTGATTTTCTTTCCTCTGAATCAGTTCCTGAAATGGAGGCGATGATCTCTGGCTCGGGTTTTTTACTCCCTAATGTAGAGATGTTGCAACTTCTTATTACACCCTGCGAAAAGAAAGAGTTCAAAAATAAATGTTGGGAACAAGCTATTCAATTCTTTGAAAGTGTAGGGGATTTTTATTCTAAGTAAATTATTAATGTCTGAAACCATTCATTAAAAGTACCTTGGGAGTTTGTCTAGGGGGGAGAAATCTGGGATGGTTAAATGATGTTTGTCTAAGGAGAAGCTTGGATTGGTTTAATGAAGCTTGCCTAATCAATTTTCCCATACAAAAATCACTTTCATCATCATCATCATCAACATTAACATCATCATCGTCATCTTCCGTGCCCGCAAAAACTGGTAGAGATGGTGCCCTTAACAGGTTGTTACGCAGCGGCTCTGGAAATATTGGCTCGTTTGTTTCTGCCTTATGATCTGAATCTTGCTTGATGATTGTCGTCACAATTGGCGGTAGCGAGGGGGTTTTCTGCAAACCTTTTCCGCCATCCCGACTCAATAATAACAATAAAGTTTTACCTTCCCCAAATCTATTGATTGAAGAAAATGTTTCCTCCATGGATTTTCCACGAAGCATGGAACTATCAGAATGGCATCTTGACATTTTTGGTTTTCTGTCGAACAAATTTCTGAAAAACCATGATTCTTCCAGAAGCTCGCCTGGCTCTTTCCTTTCATGATTTTTGTTCTTTCCAAATTGAGGAACAACTTGATGAAGATGATTATCCATAGGATCACCAATTACAAATATCTAATAAGAGTTTTTATCTTTTTCTTTTCTTTCCACCCCCCTCTCTCTTTTTCCCTCTCTCCAAATTAAAGGAAATAGGTGTTTATTTGTGGGTTCTCGAGAAAAGGCTATCTAAACTCATACTACCTCCCTTTCTCAAAAGAGTTCCTCTTTTAACTTTGGGAGAAAATAAGAAAGTATTAAATTGTAGTTGACTTTCCAATTTTGCCCTTGATGTGATGGGTAAAAGTAAGATGTGATAGTTTAGTTGTTAGTGAAAAAGTATGATGTGATAGGTAGGGTATGAAAAAGTAGGGGTAAAAGTGATTTTTAATATAAAGGGGAAGTGTTTTAAGAAAAACAAAAAAAAATGAAAGAGGAAGGATTTTAAGAAACGGAGGGAGTATTATTATTAGGTTTGAGGCAGATGCCATGTGCGGTTGGTTACAAGAAATTTTAGAATCAAAGTATACAAACTTGTTATTTATGGATTTAAATATTTAATACTCCCTCCGTCCCACTGTCTTTGTCCACTTACCTTTTAGCACACCATCCAATACACTTCTTTAATCCATTTCATCTTGTAATTTGTATATTAAAAAATTATAGAAATTATATATTAATAATCTATATGTTAAGACAAATCAAACAAGATCACACATGACTATATTTAGGCTTACACATTGAGAGAATTTGATGAGTCAAAGTGCTTAGATGAACAGTTCCAAAAGTCAAAAGTGGACAAAGACAGTGGGACGGAGGTAGTATTTTACTTATTTGATACAGTACCATTTTGTAGTCTTAGTGATGTTCATAATTGATAAGTTTCAGTATTTTATAATTATTTATATTTATGACTAATATTTCCCCAATATTACCCCACCATCGCATAAAACTTTTACTTTTATTTTTACCATATCTAAGAAAATATATTTTCCAACTTTACTCTTTTGATGAAAGTGAACATGTGACTCAAATAGTTTTATTTCATATAAACAAATTTCAGCCGTTTATTTTTTACATTTAAATAATTTTCTCAAATTTCTTGAAAGTCAAACAAAAATCTTTTTATGAGGGAGAGGGAGTGTAATTTATCTATTTTATTTACTTATTTTTATTACTAATTTGATAGATAAATGTAGTTATGTTAGTTCTTGTACTGTGATACGTAATATATTTTATTCTTGCGCACACATTTATATCATTTTAAGTTGAAATAGATTCAGTCAAACCTTGTAAACTAGAATAAAAAGATTAGTTTGGGACAAAATAACTATAATTCATCTTTCTGTCTGTCATAATTACTCTTGATTTCCCAAAATAAAAGACATAGTGCAATTTACAATGATTGTTTGAATTAATTTTTATTTCAATTTATTTTAAAATTATGTAAATATAAGGAGTAATAAAAATTATACTTGTTTTATCTAAGTATCACATCAGAAGTTTTACAAAATAAGAGTTCACATGGTTGTATTATTTAGTCAAATTATCAATACTCATAAAAATATGTATGAAGAGCTAATGCTCCATAAAAATATGTATAAAAAAGACACTACTTAAAATTTTGTTATGTAAATAATATGGAATAATGGTGTCCTTAACTCATTTCTTTTACTTCTTTTTAATTAGTGTAAACTTTTAAAATCAATTAATTATTAAGTAGGTGCTTTCAACAAAAATTAATTACTCTCTCCGTTCCACGGAGATCTTCCCATTAGTCATATCAGATCTTCCCATTATCTTTTTTGCATTTATTTAAAATACAACAACTACTCCTATTTACTTTATATATTCCACCGATTTTCATTAAGGCTATTTTGGTAAACTTTCACCTTTTTCAACTCTTCTTCAAATAAAAAGTAAAAATGAGAACATTTTAGGGGTAGAGGGAGTATTAATTAGGTAATTTTTCCTTTGAAATAAAAGAAAATCACACAGGTTTGAGCCCCATTGGAGGCGTACTCAGATTATTAGGTTGAAAAAGTATGAACAAATATTACATTGTAATCGAATCTCTAGCAGAGTCTCATATCTTTATTTAAGTTTGATTTTTGTGGTAAATCTTTTAAATTTTGATCACAAAATGCAAAAATATACATTGTAGTATAATATAAATTAACTTTCTATTAATCAAAATTAGTGGGATAAAATACAAGAGGTGGGATCAATTTTTGTCATGTCTAACTATTTCGTGTTTAAAAAAAAGTGTATAACATGCATAAAAGATACTAAATTTACCGTACCCCATATATATTTAATATTTGTATGTAAAAAGAGTCCCAAATAAGTTAAGATTTTTAAATCATTAGGCAAATTTTTTTAGAGAAAAATACATAAATAAGACTAGAAGAGATGCGTTTTCCTTATCTAGGACTACTCTTATTTGTTCGAGGTTTTAATAGTGGAAAAGACTACTTTAGCCTTTTTATTTTCTGTGAATATTTGATGGCACAGGATAAGCACTCGGTTAGGAACAAAAGGATTATGAATCTCAAGTGTGCAACCCTTTCCTTAGGCAAAAGCAATGCTACAATGCAACCGGATGCAACATTCAAGAAAACCTTACCATCTGACCTCAGAGAAGCATAAGAGGAATATTTTTCGAGTTTCACTGTAACCATTCACAAAAAAACTCCCTCTTTTAGCTGTCATGACCTCCATTATTTCTTTAGATATATTCTTTTAATTAAATATCCCCTAAGGTCAAATGATAACTTTTCTTTGTCATAGTTCAATTCATCTACTAAAAAATTATTTTGATATGTATTAAGTGGATTTTTATTTGGAAATCCAGTGCTACTGAATTTCTTTAAAGACCACCTACTTCAATAAAGCAACTTTTCAATCTCAATTAGACAAAAATTCTTTAAGTCTTCTCATTAAATTATAAGTTCTCAAAAAAAATAATTAGAAAAATTGATTTATTTACAGTACGCAATTAAAGAGTTTTGTTTCCATATAATGCATTTCATATAGATTAATACGTTAGAAACAATATTTATATTGAAACACCTTGAAGCAATCATTAATGGTGTCATTAATCACTATCAGTATAGATTATTATTATTATTATTATTATTATTATTATTATAGAAAATTCCATAATTAATCTTTTATAATAGAGAATTTTTTATATTTAATCCTCTATTATCAAATATTACACTCGTGCTTTTGTGGTACCTTTCCACGGATAGTTTTTTTACTGTGTATCATGTTAATTTTAATTTGAGACATAAAATGTAATTTCACAAGTTATTTTAAAATAGGACTACAAGCACATCTTTTGAGAATGTATTAATGAAAGTGTTACGATCAATCATGATGAGCTCAAACCTGGTTTAAGTTTGAAGCCTTTTGTATTGGGATTTTGTTATACTTGAAGGGACGTTCTATTGTATTTTCTGGTAAAATCTCTAAGGCCCCCTTTGGTACATGGAATTCAAACTATGGAATTGGAATTGAAGACTTTAATTCCAATTCTGGTGTTTGGTAGCACAAAAATTATGTGGATTTGGAATTGATAATGCAAAAAATGAATTGGAATTGGTAGAATTCAATTTTATGGAATTGAATCTCATGGAATTTCAATTCCAATTCAATTCCAATTCTATCAATTCCGTATACCAAACGGATCCTAACGAAAGTTTAGTAGAGGACTCTTACACGAAGCCCCACACACGAATGTAAGCCCCAAAGAATAGGAAAATTTCTCTAGACCTGCATGATGAAGTATCTTGTCTATGATCTTCATATAGTGCTATAGCATCGTCACAGTACTTTACATGTGTGTTTTAATAAAAAGAACTACGAAGTACTTTCTAAATCAAAGGGGGAGTTCTAGTATCTGTAATCTAAGTAGCTCGCGGCATTCTGATGTTGGGGCTAACAAAAAGGGCAGAATAGACATTGTCTTAGCAACAAGGGTGTGGCCTCATTGAATTTGTACATCACACAAACTCGGCTACTGAATTTATTCCCTTCTTTTTTATACCTTGAATTAATCTGTACTCTCCGAAGCTATATCATCTTTATTAATGTTTCTCCCACTTGTATCTACAGGATCAGAGCTCAGTTGTGTTTGTCTTTTGTTTTCAGTTTCTTGACTTGGAGTAGAACTCCCAGAGAGCAAGTTTAAGACAAGCTGGCCAGAATAGAGGAATAAGCCTATAGAGTTCATGCCAAACACACATGTTGCAAGGTAGAACAAGCCATTAACGATGGTTCTGCAACATCATATTGAACAATCCAATAATAGTCATCAACATTATGAATCAACATGATTGTTAAGGGAGTTGGGGAGTTTGTGTCAGCAAGTAGAACATGTACCTTATTGTTATTGTCATTTGACGAACCTGAAAGATTGATGAAAATGATTGAGAAGAGAAGAGTGAACAAAAATGACTGGCATATAATATAAACACGAGGATATGTAAGAAATTGAATTCTCAAATTAGGACCATACTTTACAACTTAGGGGCCTTTTGTTTCATCCATTTGTACCTGTTAGACACTTGTTTAGATATTTTACGTTTATAGAGTTCCATTGACTTGATGTCGTTATGTAAATTTACTTTTAAGCGCATTACTTATAAGGGAATTTTTTAAAGTATTTGGGGGAAAAGTAGGTATTTTTTAAAAATCAGAGGAACTTTGGGAAAGAAAAATATACTACAGCAACTACAATAACCTGCAAATCGCTCCCATTTGGAGATGAAGGTGGATTACCATAGCAGTTGGGGTGCGAAAGAACCCCCAACAGCTCCATCGAACAAGGCCTTAGTCTTTTGGCAACCGTGAACACAAACCATGGTTCTTATATTGATAACGAAGTAGCACTTGTTATCTACTTCAGGGGCTCTAAACATGAGTCCCAATGGTAGCATTTATTATTGTTATACATATAAATTCCTAAAATACTTATTTACATAACCAATTATACCAAATAGTCCCTTTGCTCCTATTTACCTGTCCAGGTTGACCCCTTCTCTTTATTCTTTTGTACCTGTCTAATTATGAAATATATGTATATTAACTATTTTGTCTCCACATTCCCTTCTTATACAACTCAACATACCCTACACCCAAGTGAGCCAATATAAACTTAAATATTAACTACTACCATAGGATCTTACAGTCGATGTAACGGTTCTGTAACCCTAGTTAGAATCTCAAGTTTAACAGCTTTGACCTAGACAATTGAAAAGGGCAGCTGCTGCATAACAGTTGTACTTTTTTCTTTCTAGAATACTATTTCTTCATTCCTCCATTGACCATTTGAATGAAACATACTCCCTCCGTCCTAATTCTTTCTTCCCAGTTTGACTTTTCCCCATTTCTAATTTTTGGCTTTGACTTCAAATTTTACCCTCCTTAAAAAAGATTTTTTGAAATTTTTTTTTTGCAATCATTCAAAATATAGAGTTAGAAGATAATTGGTGTAAATACATGAGAGTATTAATGTCATTTGTCATCTTTTTTTTTCTAATGGGAAGGTAATTTTAGGACGGAGAAAAAGGGGAAGTGGGAAGAAAGTTTTAGGACAGAGGGAGTACAATTTTTTGGAACTCCATCTCCCCAGTTCTCCCCTAATGTCTCCTCCTTTAAACAGATCTCCCCAGTTCCCCTCCCATACAGCCTCCACTTTTAATCCAAACGAATAACCGTGGGAAAACCCCCAAGGCCAAATTGCTATTTGCACCCTTGTTGCAGGGCATAATTAGCAAGTCATTTTATAAGGGATACAAAACATCAATGTTTGCGACTTCAACAACCATAACTCAATAAAATGTGAAGCATGTGTACCACTTATTCCTAAAGATAAATGTCAACCAATGCAGCTAAATTGTGGTCAATAACCCACTAGAAACTGTGAGAATGCAAATCACACATGGAGTATCTCGTAATCTTTTTTCAAGAAAACCTGGGATATATTTTTGGCTAGTGATCGATGTTCAATGTATCTGAAATGATCAATGTAAAATCAAGTATGCATTACTTTTAGTGTTTAATCTCTCTACATGAATATTAGATCCAACACAACAAATTCACAGGGCTAACGAGAAACAAACCGAGAAATTATCAGAGATTGCTTGCCGATTGAGAGATGACTCGATAGTTGTTGTAAATTTGTATAGGACTAGTGCAATAACACCAGCTGTCAAACCACCAAAGAGTGCCTGGACGGGTGAAGGTGGTGGATCCTTGGCATCAGTAGGTGTCAGCATAATTCCTTTCAGGCTCTCAATTGCTTCCAATTCGGACATTTGCTTCACTCCCGATGACCTAAGTTTCTAGTTTCAACAGGATGTGTTCAATGTATAAAATGGAAACTCCAAATTATAGTGAAAGGTTAAAGCTATATACTCAAACAGCAGCCGAATGCAATTCCACAGTACAACAATGCAATAGAATGCTTAATTTCAATGTATTTATTATAAATCATGGAAACATGCTCAAATCAAATCATGTGTAGGAGATGAATGAATATCCTTCTGTACTACTGAAGCAAAAAACACTGAAATTAAAATTCAGAAGTTCAATCGATTCTAAAGGGAAAACGTGAATACTTTACCAATTCCTTAGCTCGCTTCAGACGGAGGCGGAGAGACCTGAAGAGGAAGACTGAGATGGCTCCAGTGAGGAGGAGACTGGTGGCTATTTGGATAGGAGTAGGGTCGTCTGAGGAGGCAAAAATGGAGGAATCGGAAGACGGAAGCTCGATGGGACCTTCCTCAAGATGAAGTGGTGGCGAGGCGTTAGCAAGCCATGATTCCTGCCGCGCCGGGAGGAGTTTCTGGGCCCTTACAGGACGCAGAGTCTTGATGGGGTTATAGACGGAAAAATTGAATGGGGCAAAAGAAGGTTTGAGACGGCGAAGGGAGGACACGATGGAGAATGAGCAGTGTTGTGCCCCCCGCATTCTCGGGTTTTGACAGATAAGGAAAAGATAGGATCTGGACGGAGACACTGCAAGCGGATTTTCAGAGACGGTGGATATGGCGGTGTGACTGACTGACAGAGGGAGAACGGTTTGGAGCGTACAAACCTCTACAAAAACAATTTAAATATTTTAAAGAACCATGCTACACTTACACCAAAAATTGTACCACATTTGTACTCCATAGTTATGCAAAAACAATTTCATGTTTTACACCGACACAAATATAGGTGCGTTAAAAAAAATTTACACAGACACAAAGTGTTGGTGCATTAATAAAAATTAGTTTTACACCAACACAAAATGTTGGTGCAAACCTGCGGGGTACAAAGTGGGGTACAAAAACTTGGGGTACAAATAGATTTATCCTGTTTTAAATTTTGGTCGTGTCTATTTTATGGAAATGCTAGAGTTCATAGAAATACACACATGCAATATATATGCACGCACCGACATTACGTGTCTGTGAAAATATGATGTATAAATGGGACACCTCATTTTAGTGTACTCTTAAGTTAATTCTTATTCTATACCAAGTCATCCTAGTTATAGGTCGTCTGCTCGGTCGAAGGTTATCCACACAATAATCTTGGATGTAGGTCATTAGCTCAATCTACCATGGGTTTATACCCATCAACGAGTCATGCGCTTCCGGCCTTGTGGGGACCATCTAGGGGAGAAACTTCTAAACTGGTATTTGCAAGATCCCACCTAGTTTTAGTTTTTAAATTTTGGATTTTTCTTGAATAGTGGGCCGAGTGCCCCCTAAACATCCGAGGTCCATTCAATCTTAGTCGTTAAATCACCTACGGAACCGACTCTAGCATTGTTACCTTAATCTCCATGTCATCACTTCATCTCTGTAGGTAATGATGGTCGCACATCATTGCTCTTGCTACATGTCCAATGTTGATAGGCTTATTGGGGCAGTATGTATCTTATATAAGCAGTGGCTCCTCCTCCATTCCTTCACTTTACATTTTGAAGTTCTTAGAGATCTAACATGGCGTGTTCGAGTTAAACCCTTCTTCCATTCCTCCAAATATTTCAATAAGTGATTCAATAAGGGTGCAAATAGCACTTTGGCCTTGAGGTTTTTGCAATGATTTTTTGTTTGGTTTAAAAGAGGAGGATGTATGGGGGGAACTGGGGAGATTAGTTTAAAGGAGGAGACATTAGGGGAGAACTGGGGAGATGGAGTTTTAAAAAACTGTATGTTTCATTCAAATGGTCAATGGAGGAGTGAAGAACGAAGAAATAGTATTTTAGAAAGAAAAAAGTACAACTATTATGCAGCATCTACCGTTTTTAATTGTCTAGGTCAAAGTTGTTGAACTTGAGATTCTAACTAGGGTTAGAGAATTGTTACTTCGAATATAAGATCTTATGATAGTAGTTAATATGTAAGTTTATGTTTGCTCACTTGGGTGAAGGGTATATTGAGTTGTATAAGAAGGGTAATGTGGAGACAAAATAGTTAATATACATTTATTTCATAAATAGACGGGTATAAAAGAATACAAAACTGCAATGTTTCCGACTTCAACAACCATAACTAAATAAAATGACTTGCTAATTAGCTTGTAGTTCGTAGTTCTAAGTAGGATAAACATGTTCGAGAGTGACGATAGCCAGAATGTCTCGATCCACTCTTACGCTTCCAACTCCCACCCCATCTCCCGGTCTCATACCCCCTTAGTTCTCACAATCGACCAGTCAATCCCCCTTAGCAGAGTGCTGCAACTGCAATACAAGACGAGGCCCCTGATTCTGCTGAGGCTTGATCGGTAACCATCACTCGGCTCAAGGAGTTGAGGAAGGCTCCCTCTCGATAGATGACCGGTCTATCGTGAACCTTCCTTCGCGTATGTCTAAGGAGCACGTCCATGAGTTTGGCCACCTCCATGAACTTATAGTAAGTAAGAAATTTATACCTTTCTCTAGAAGCGATAAAACGAAAAAGTCGTAGGAAGAGCGTTGATGGTGCAAACGCAACCCCTCAAGCGTCCGGTCTCTAACTTTAACACACGAACAACGCCGGAGTCTACCACAATCTTTATACTAGTAAAGATTATAGTAGTATAAAATATTAAGATTAAAATTTGGGATAATAACAATCTTGTATACTTCTAGAGAAAATATTTCTAATAATATTTAGAAAATATTATAGATATTTTCTATACATAAAAATGATATTAACGGAATACAAAAGATATTTTCTATCATTAAAAATCAATGGCCAAAATTCCTCTCAAAAAATGCCTCTTCAAATTGACTAATGGTGTGGTCTATATATAAAACAAAGATTGGAAATTAATTTTTGTCATTGGCTAAATGACAAATCAATTAGCCCACTTAAATGTAACGCCTTGAGACCCGGTCTATTAGAATTGACTTAATTAATTAATTAATTATTAACTTGGACCGGAGTTGGGAAAATATAATCCTTAGAAAAATTATTTGATCACGTCATAATATTCGTCTTGACTGTCTGATTCCAGAAACGCAAACGGATCTCAGTTTGGACCCGTTCAGGGGAAAAACCACGTACCGTTCAGGTTAGATTTTAACATACTATAGTAATCACACGCCATTACTCTTCCACTCACCACCATTTTCCATTTAATTGCCCACATTAATTCCTTCATCATGTCTCATTGGGGTCCATCACTATGGGGTCCAATGTACGAGATGTTGTAGCACTGACCAATGAGGTCCTACCAATTAGCAGACAGTATAATAAGAGGTAATAAGTTGTTGGTCATATTCTATTGTTTTTATTTTACCAGATATATCTTTTTCATTCCTTTTAAATTTGATTTTACGACATAAGCGTTTATGACCTCCTCCTCGATGTCTTATAGTGATGATTCCGTTGGCATTACGACCTTTACCACAATGACGTTTTCCAGAGATCAAATTTTTGGGCTTCGCTTGACTCGTTCCGTTTCTAGTGAGTGTGCTTGTAGGCTCAATTTTGTATAATTTTATTATCATAATATTTAAGTAATTTTCTTCTTAATTTTTCATTTCAGTTTTTATTTTTTACTATATCTTAGGGATATTCGCCCCTAATCCCATAGATAACTCGTGGAGATTTCTTATTTTTAACAAACTGTTGGTAATATTTTTTAGTTTATGTAAATAGATAGACCAGATAGCGTGCATCCAGTAGGAATTGAACCTACGACTTCGCCAATTATGAGTTGGGCGCTTTAACCACTTAGCCATGGATACTTAATGAGGACCACATAGGATTTGAAAAATGTTCTAATTTCTAATATAAAATCTAATTAAAGTAAAAGAAACTAAAAAAACTCGGGAGGTTTACACAGGCATGAAAAAACAAAATCGCAAATTTGGTATTTTCGAATTGAGAGAGATCAATAATTCTAAATCATGGACCCAATTTTATTCAGTGGAATCCTTCATTCACATTTTTTTCCGCCAAGAGCGGTTTTTAAAACTCTTTGATCCGCGTCTCCTACTTTCACGCAATTTACTAGGTTCAACAAGAAATCCATATTTCACCATCAAGGGAGTCATAGTAGTTGTAGTCGGGATCCTTATATATCGCATGAACACTCAAAATATGGTTGAACGAAAAAACCTCTATTTTAAAAGATTTTTTCCTCTATCATTTACTGACACTAGTGATCAAGCCCGTGGATTAACTAAAATGAGTATGTTGCTCCTTTCTTTTCCAAAAGGAAAAACTCTATTTGAAAATTATTTACTGAAACCGACAGAAAAGACTCAGGTTCTGCCAATAACAAAAGTGCGGTGGAGGAACTTGATCGAGAATCGTAGTTTTCATGAAATGGTTGCCGGAATTGATATCTTATTCAAAGAAAAGGCGCTACAATCTCTTGAGTTTCCGTTTGTATATTATCTAGATGATGATAGGCCCGAATCCTATTTTTTTTTTAGTAATATGAGGGATCGGTTTTTTAGCACGGGGCGGAATATATGGTCAAATCTTCAGTCTGCTTCCACAAGATCAAGATCGCATTTTGTTCAAGGAAAGATTTCGAGTAAACTCAAAAGATCCTCTGATCCACCCATAGACCTTTTTGAGTCCCTTCAGAATGAGGATTCGGAATATTCTGGATTGATTCATCAAAAAAATATTCAACAACGAAAAGAACGAGCAAGTTCTTGGGATCCTTCCTTTCTTGAAACGGAACGCGAGAAAGAGCGGTCTCCGGAAAAAATGGAACATTTTCGGACAAGATTCCTTGGTTCTTTTTGCTCGGAGAGATGTTCAGAACTATATATAACGTCGACTCCGATTGAGAGGGCCCCTTCCTTTGCGAAGAAACCTCTTTGTTTTGTCCGGCGAGCGGAAAAGAAAGAAATACTTGATTTATTCAAAATCATTCTTTATTTACAAAAGACTGTCTCAATTCATTCTATTTCATCAGATCCGGCCAAAAAAAATCTATTCTTTAGTTTAGTTCAGCGATTCTATTTGAAAGTCGAAGAGATCTTGCAAGGAAGAGCAGATCTATGGACTCTAGTAATAAGCGAACCAGATATGGTGTATCAGAAGGAATTTTCTTTTTATCTTAATAATGATTTGGGATTAGNCCCATCTCACGGAAAACCCTTTTCGCTACGCTTAGACCTATCTCCCTCTAGGGGTAGTTTAGTTATAGGTTCTATAGGAACTGGACGATCTTATTTGGTCAAAACCCTAGCGACAAACTCCTATTTTCCTTTCATTATGATATTTGTGAACAAGTTACTGGACAAGAATCCTCCTAAATTTATTTCTGATATCGACAAGGTGGAGAAGAGTGACAATATTGATCCTAGTTATGATATCGATAGGGTGGAGAATAGTGACAATATCGGTCGGGACCTTGCTACGGAGCTGGATCTGCTCACTTGGAATGCGCTAACTACGGATAGTGAGATGAAGGCTCAAATTGACCGATTGTCTATAACTCTTCAATTTGAATTAGCAAGAGCAATGTCTCCATGCATAATCTGGATCCCAAATGTTCATGATCTCGATGTGAATGAGTCCAATTCCTTATCCCTCGGTCTACTAGTGAACCAGCTATCCAGGGATTGTGAAAGATGTTCTCCTAGAAATAATCTTGTTATTGCTTCGACTCATCTTCCCCAAAAAGTGGATCCCGCTCTAATAGCTCCGAAAAAATTAAATACGTGTATTAAGTTACGAAGGCTTCTTAGTTCACAACAACGAAAGTCCTTTTTCACTCTTTCCTATACGAGGGGATTTCACTTGGAAAAAAAAATGTTCCATACTAATGGATTGGGGTCCAATGTACGAGATGTTGTAGCACTGACCAATGAGGTCCTATCAATTAGTATTACACAGAAGAAATCAATTCTAGACACGAATACAATTAGATCCGCTCTTCATAGACAAACTTGGGATTTGCAATCCCAGGTAAGATTGGTTCAGGATCATGGAATCCTTTTCTATCAGATAGGAAGGGCTGTAGCACAAAATGTACTTATACGTGATTGCCCTATAGATCCTATATCTCTCTATCTGAAGAAGAAATCCTGTAACGAGGGGGATTCTTATTTGTACAAGTGGTACTTCGAACTTGGAAAGAGCATGAAAAAATTGACGATCCTTCTTTATATTTTGAGTTGTTCGGCCGGATCGGTTGCTCAAGATCTTTGGTCTTTACCCGTAAAAATGGGATTACTTCCTTTGGACTTGTTGAGAATGACTCTGATCTAGTTCATGGCCTATTAGAAGTGGAAAGCGCTCTGGTGGGATCATCTTCTATCCTTGATCAGCAATTTCTGTATGAATCGGAGTTTGAAGAAAGCCCGCAACAGATCGAGGAGGATTTATTGAATCACATAGTTTGGGCTCCTAGACTCTGGCGCCCTTGGGGCTTTCTGAGAGTTTCCTATGAAGAGAATGATAAAGAGAGGGGAACCATGCAATACAAGCTAGACAAGAGCCAAGGAATTCATGTGGGATCCTACAGATCCACTCTTTTTTCTATTCAAAGATCAGACCCCAGGCTCTATTTTTTCACGTCGAGAATTATTTGCAGAGGAAGAGATGGCAAAGGCACTTCTTACGTCCCAAATTGAGCATATGTTTTTATCTAAAAACACACGCTTTATTAGCAACAAGACGCAAGAAAAGCATTTCGAATTTTTGATTCATCGTCAGAAATGGCTTAGAACCAATAGTTCCTTATCCAATGGATCTTTCCTTTTTAATACTCTATCCGAGAGTTATCAGTATTTATCAAATATGTTCCTATCTAACGGAACACTATTGGATCAAATGACAAAGACTTTGTTGAAAAAAGGATGGCTTTTCCCGGATGAAATCAAAATTGGATTCATGTAAAACAGAGATTCTCTCATCGGATTGATCGAATCGGTATTGATATACAGATTGGATCGATCCGAGCTCTCTTCGCATTCAAAAGAGTATGCCTTGAAGAGGACTCGAACCTCCACGCTTTTAGCACGAGATTTTGAGTCTCGCGTGGCTACCATTTCACCACCAAGGCATCATGAAATCAAATCTATGACAATTTTTTCATTCTATATCTATGAAATATAAAAAATGGAGATTTCTAGATTCAGTCAATGTTCTTGTCCAATTACGGCTATTCCGTAGCGATGACGGGATTAACCACATGGTCCGGTGTGGACCAGAGATTCTAGTGAGTATGAGGTATTTTTAACTAGCTAAGCAATTGCAATAATTGGGTTCCATGCTATTTCTGGTCATCAAATCATACTTAATTCGATAACCAGATATAGAAGAGCTCATTAAGTCAAAAGTTCCTAGTCATCGTTAGCCCCGCCTAGAAATCTTCCTCTTAATCAGAAGGTGAATTAGGATATAGGATACATTCTAGGAAAAGAAACTTGTGAATCAAGAATGAAATTTTCTTTCTGTACATGCCAGCTCATGAATTTAGTAACTGCTTCCAATAACCAAGGTTAAGAAAGTCCCCAAGAGGGCAGAGTTGATCCAGAATTTCTTTTCTTTCTTTTTCTCTTGTCCAATATGCATTAACGAAAATGTGCAAAAGCTCAATTTGCCTCTGCCATTCTATGAGTCTCCTCCTTTTTGCGTATAGCATCGCCACGCCCTTTGGCAGCATCGACTAATTCCGAACTTAATTTGAAAGCCATATCTCGACCGGGACGTTTTCGGGATGCCGCTAATAACCAACGAACATCAAGTGCATTTCCTTGTGTAGATCTTATTTCAATGGGAACTTGATGAGTTGATCCACTAACACGTCTTGCTTTTACCGTGAGATTAGGAGTTACTCCACATATTGCTTGACGTAAAACGGATAATGGATTTTTTTCTGTGATTTGTTGAATGGTTTTCACGGCTCGATACATAATTTGATAAGCCAATGATTTTTTTCCGTGTTTCAGAATACGGTTCACCAACATGTTAACTAATCGATTTCGATAAATTGGATCGGATTTTGTTTTTTTCTGCATTACCTCGACGTGACATGAGCGTGCAAAGGGTTAAAGAATGAGTTATAAGGGCTACATATTGTTTTACAAATTGTTCATATCATTATGCTTCATTAAATCATTTATATTGAAAGCATAACACATCATATGCATGCGTAAGAGATCATGCCTCATGCGTCTCTTATAGCGTGATTGTGCGGGACTTAGCAGTCCGACATCACAAGTTTGGGCTTAGTGTATGTACATGGTATTCAGGCATTTTGAGTACCACCCTCATCTTGTTTCTAGTCTCATTCGTAAGACTAAGGTGGCGTGAGTTCGTCGTACAAACTAGGCTAATCTCATAGTGCAAGGGTCGTCCTTGCACGACAAATTTCTAAAGAACGGTGCACTTTTTTGACCCAAATGATTTGATTATGAATTGAGATTCAATTCATATGGATGTTCGACGCATTAGATATCCTTACTCAGCTTCAACGCTGAGCGTGCAGTATGTTTTATTTGTTGCACACAGGTAAATAGAAAGAATGATGTGACAGGATTCTAGAGGCAGACGGAGGCGAGATAGTCGGGATGGATGTGATGGTTCTTGAATTGATTGACATAAATTTATCATGTTTGTGATTGTGATTTGGTAAGCTTCCGCAAAATTGAAAACACCATATTGTAAATTTTTACGATTACCAAGTTAATACTTTAGTCCGAAAGGGGCTGCAGACCTAGACGGATTACGGTGTTACAACCTTCATCTTTCTGCTCCCATTGTCGAAGTTGCTCTTGTTCAGCAAAGGGGCTTGAAGCGATTGCAAATTAGCCAAGTCGAAGAATTAACCAGGTTCTGATACCACGGTGTTGGGATATAAGAGAGTATATGAAGAATTCAATTAATAATTTGAGAAAATGAATTTATTTGGAAGTGTGGTGCACAGTGGCGACGTGTGGCTTTGGAAGTGGTTATTTTAGAAGTAAACTTGGGAAGAGTTATTCATAATTTTTTATTCATATGCCTGTGAATAAAATTGGCCTGGTGCAATTAAATATTACTACTTCATCTCTTCAACTAGCTTATCTAGAACTATCGAGAAACATCATCACTTATAGTGAGTGTTTCTAGTGCTTATTGACTTATTGCTTATAACTTGTTTTTAACTTATAAGCTGCTTATAAATTAAAAACTCTTTCGTATAGAAAAATAACTTAACTTGTATATAACTCATTTGGGGATATTCACAATAGGTGAGAGATGGTTTTGTTAATAATCAGGCCAAAACGGTTAAATGAAAAAACTGGCATAAAAACAAGTAAGATTTACTTATTTTTTCTAGATCTTTAAACTGTCTGCGCTTCTTGCAATTGTAAAGTAGCAGTTAGTCAATGTAACTTTCGATGCTCATCATGGGTCATCTGGAAACAGCCACTCTATATTTTAAACATAGGGTCAGACTGCGTACATCTGACCCCCCTACCCTGCAATGAGCGGGAGCCATTGAGGCACTAGGGTAATGTTGTTGTTGTACAAGCAGCTTATAAGTCAGCTTATAGGCACTGAAAAACACATCATCTACTGACTTAAAAGTTAAAAACAGCTTATACGCTTAGAAAAACACTCACATAATTTCCTTGATAATCCCTTCTTGATTCTTCTAGATAATTCATTGTAAAATATCTTCTAAATATCAAGTTTACTTAGTTCTTCCAACACCTCTTTCGTTTGAAATTGCAAAATTTTATATCAAACATGTCTTCAACATATATCAAATGAAAGGGAACCAAGAAAAAAAGTACTCCCTCCATCCCAATTTAAATCACCTATTTTATTTTATGAAGTTATTTTCAATATAAATTATTTGAGAAATGAGATAGAATTTAAAAATAAAATTTACATATTAAAAAACTATATCAAAAGTTTAGAAAATAAGAGGTAACGAGGTTATATTATCGTATTAAATGAGTAACGAAAAATAAGAAAATAAAGTAAATAAAATTTGACCATTTAAATATTTCCTCCGTCCGGGAATGATGTTCCCGTTCTACTCTTTTTTTTCATCTGGAAATGATGTTCCCACTCTACCTTTTTTCCTCTACACTTCTAAAATTATCCTCATCTTATTTCTTTCCCCTCTTTTCTTCCTTTCTTTTTTTCCTTCCTTTCTTTCTTCTTTTTTTCTCTGCCACTTCTTTCCAACTTCTTCCCCTGATTTTTTTCTGTTAGAGTTTATCCTACATCGGAAGTTGAATAGAAAAGTTATCGGTATATAAGGTCTTGAGTTGAACTAAGTAATAGATTGGATTCAATCTTTTAATGTGGTTCAACCCAAGTGTCTTATTACCCAATCGAGTTGTCCATACCCATCCCAAGTTAGATCATTTTCACTCATGTTTCTCCATTTTGCTAGTTATTTTTTTCTCACTCCCCAAACTTTTTTGTTCTTCTACTCGTCACTCTCTCTTCCATCTCCTCCTCTTCCTCCTTCTCTTCTCTTCTCCCCCGTTGTCTTTCTTCTTCTTTATCCCCCCACCCTTCTTTCTCCTCCACCTTTCTTCTAGATCTGGCGGCGATGGTGACGACAGCGGTAGCAGTGATGGTGGCAGTGATGGTGAGATGGCGAGTCTAGATCTGCACTTCTTCTTTACTTTCCCCTTATTCTTTCTTTTAGATTTGTGCGATGAAGGCGGTGATGATGGGGCTGTGGCGGCGATGGTGGGGCAGACGGTGGTGGTCGTGGTAGATCTGCGTCTTTATCTTCGGCGGAGATCCTCCTCCTCTTTCTTCCACTTCTTCTTTCTTTTCCCTTTTCTCTTTCTCCCATATACGAAGTTGTTTGCGACTGTGAGCTATGGTGTTGGTGGGGGCTGACGGCAGCGGTGAGAGGTGGGGCGGTGGCGGGGCTGTGGTGGGACTAACGGTGGTGGGTGTCAATGGGAGGTGGGCAGTGGTGAGGCAGGCGGTGGGGGTTGCTATTGGGTGGTGGGATGTGGTGAAGTGCAGGGGTATTTTAGTTGTTTCAATCCCTTAGAGCAACTCCAAAGGGAAAAGGTAAGTTGAGAAGGTATTTTGCTCATTTACCTTCTTAAAAAGGTAGATATACCTATTTATAAAATTCTTGACTCCAATGGAAGAAGGTAAATGAAGAAGGTAAGTATATGTTTCCCAAAATAAATGTATTTTAAAGAAAGAGAAGAAATTGGTATACCTCTCCAAAATTGAGGAGGTAAATATACCTCTCCATAATTAAGGAAGGTATAATACCTTCTCATTTACCTATTGGAGGATAAACTTATGTGTAGAAAAGGTAAATTTGACAAATATTGTTCTTTACCTTTTGTTTTACCTCCTACATTGGAGTTGCTCTGAGTCAAATTCTCTTAAAAATGAAGAAAAGTCAAAATGAGAGCATTATCTCCAGACAAAGGGAGTAGTAAATATGTAACTTAATTTAAGGCGGAGGGAATATCATATTCCCTCTCATTGTCCCGTGTATTTATGTCTTAACTCAAACATCCATTCACATTACTTTTTTATCCAATTTCAAAGGGAAATTGGATATGTGAAAGTGTTTATAAGACCTTAAAAATATGGACAATGCTACGTTCACAAACAGGATTGGTCACAAATTCCACAAACTTATTATTTATGGTTTAAATTCTCATTTTAAAATTATTTTAGACTATTTAATGATTTTTTATAGAAATTCAAAAATGGTAGATTTGTGAAGTTTGTGATGATTGTGTTTGTGAACCAATCATTTCTCTAAAAATATTTGTTTAAAAAGTGTTTATCCAATCATGTTCCCTCTCATTGTCTCGTGTATTTATGTCTAAACTCAAACTCTCTTTAAAATAAATAAAATTCTATTTATTTAACATTTGTATATGTTTTTATTTCACTTTTCTCTAAAAATTTATTTAAAATGTTAAACTAAATCACTGAGAATATACAAATCATTCTTAATTATCTCGTTCCCAAATCAAAAGAGACAAATCAGAACAGGCATGCTACACTTACACCAACCGGACCAGACCAGCCGGTTCAGACCGTGAACCGGCAAACCGGTGGTCCAACCGGTCCGGTCTGGCCCATTGGACCATA